TTTGCTTTTAAATAAATTATGTTTAATGTGTACTCAGCTTTAAAATATCGATTCTCAGAAAATGTTACTGAAGAAGTAAATACACTAATTAAAACTATTGATCTAAAAGTAAACTAAAGTTCAAGTGCTTTTCTAAAAGTATGGCACGATAGACTTTGCTGTATCAATTTCAAGACTACTGAAATGATCCTTAAAAGGGCGTTGTTTCTGTAATTAAATTGGAATGTACTCAAAGTACCATAAATTACCATATCAAACAACGCAGAATTTTTAAACTGAACCCGAAGATTCGTATTGTAATCGTTATGATTACTATGTAAATAATTTTTACTGTTTGTTATCCATATTGATGTTCTCAAAGTTTATGTAGTACCGAGCTTAAATTCTAAATAAAACACATTTGTGCTACTTAAAGTCTTATTTTTAAATCTATAATTGATGGAGTCGCTATAAAAGGTTATGTCAATTAATCAAATTATAATTATCAATTAATAAACATAAAGTAATTCTTGTGTCAATAAGGTTCAAAACAAGAAGATTAATGTTTTCTCCGTTAAATGTTATACGCTTTGGGTTACGTTTAAATGTTAAACGTTTACTATTTGATTTTTTGAGTCACGCGCTGCAACATAATTATACTTCGAATTTGTACAAATCACCTGGTACATAAGAAAAATACCGAAAGATGTAAATAAGAAATTAACGACATATTATTCAGTCGTCGCAGTTTGTTAAATCGACTTTAAATATAGTAGATGTGATTCATAATTGAAGTCTTGAAATCTTTTTAATTTCTGTATTTATGACTCAATTATAACATTTTATAATAATTCTTGTATGGCGTTAATTAAATTATTAAAAGTTTTGATAAAGACTGAAATAACTTTTGCAGGTGAGGAAAAATTCCAAAGTGGTTATGAATATTTCTTTTCAACGCGTCATTACAAATTACGATTTGTGCGATAGATAACGTTGGAATTTCAAAACATATTCGAATTATGAAAAAGAAAAAAAGAATTATGAACTATTTCCGTTAAATATTTTCTGTTTTGATTTTTTTAAAGGTTTTCAATCGTAAGCACTTTACGAGCACCGTAATATTTTTCAATGACTCATTCGGTATGACCTTTTCTGTGGAATGTAAATTAACCATACTTCCTCTGTGGTACGTGATAATAAACACAATTATTTTTTATTAATATAGACTTCTTTGATTTTCTCTTAAACACTTCTTTTTAGACTCTTTTCAATAACATAATGAAATAGTCAATAAAATCAAAAAAATTAGACATTCACAGAATACACGATAATGTAATTTTACGGCCATTGCCCTACAGCCATTACTCAACCCTCCCAGTTAATTCACCCTTCACCCTTTTATTACAGACATTTATAACGTTTTTGGGTGTGTCCTAACAGACGGTTGAAATGCTGAATATCTTGATTTAAAATTTATCAATTTAATAAGTAATAATTTTGATTGAATAATTTTATTTAAAGTATTATTTTAGTTAAATTAGTAATTTTTATATTCAAATGAATTGTGTAGATGTTAAGATTAATTTAATGCACATAAAACGCAAAATGTGCAGTTTTAGATTAGTTATTATTTACTGAATGTAAATTTATGCACAAGATATTATTACGAAACATTAGATATGTGCAGGGATAATGAAATATTATACTTTAATTAATATCCTGTGGATATATCGCAATGAAAATAAATAACATACACCTGTTTGGATGGATTAGGTTTCAATGTGTACCTAGAATCTTGTTTCTTTTATGTTTAAAAGCAAATCCTTTAATTTAAAAAACCATTTTTTTTTTTATTTTTAAGACTTTAATATGTGTATGGTAATATTATTAAATATACTTTAATTGCTTTACATCGTCGCGTAAAGTGGTGACAAGACATCAAGGTTATAAGTATTAACACAAATTTCCATCCAATTAATAATTTAATAAGGGCGAATGTATTAGTTGTGTTACTTTCTAATTTAAACCATGACCATATGTTATCAGTAAAATTATAAATTGCTAAATAGTTGTGTCCGTTTTTCTAAATATTTTTAACGACTCTTAGACGAAACATTTATTGAACTTATATTGGCATTCATTCTGAAGCTATCTAATAATATTCCTATTTCACCAAATATTTGAAGAGGTGAAGATAAGAGGAAACGTCTTATAATCATTCAAACTCGAATTCTTCATTAGAAATAATAATATTTTTTTAGATTTAAAATTTTCTTGTTAATTCTGAATCATTTTTAAATGATTGATGAACCGTTCCAGTTTAACCAAATCCTGAAATATTTTTGGTTACCTCATTTCGTTCAAATGAGAATGAGTTGTGTCGAAACCAACATAATATAGAATCCTGAACACCTTCCAGTCTAACACTTTTGTGTTGAAAGCCATATCGCACCTAATGTAAGAAGAAAAAACCGGATTATCCGAATTGTGCAAACTACTGAAGCCCATCAAGCTAACTGCAAAGATTGTCTCAAAGTCTGCGTCATACTTCTAATTTTAGTAGTATCAACCTTGAAATCGCAATATTGCAGGTAATTAAGTAGCGAGAATTGAAAAATTTCGATATGTCATTAAAAATGTACAGAAATATTTATAATGATTAATTGGAACCACAAAGACTAACGACTAAAATTCCTCTTTGTTATATTATAGGACTGCTATTATATCACTAGTAACATACACATACCCACAGTGATGATCATATAAGTCTTGTGTAACATGATATCACCGTTTCAAAACAAAGCTGCCTCAATACCAGAATTTGTATATATTTGTGTTGAGCTGGTTTTATTAATAAATATTTAAAAAAATAAAAGTGTTGAATTGAAGAACAGAAATAACTTCCAAGTTTATTGGATTTCTTGTTCTAAAACAGCACTGATTGCGAAGTCTAAAGCGTTCTATGAGGTTGTGAGATGAAAATCAGACGTTGGGATTCAGAGCTGCTTGAAGCAGAGCTAATAATAATGAATATTTGGACTGCCGGTTCAGTACAGAAGAGCTTAAGAAGCTGCTTAGAAGTCTCGGGTAATTCTTAACAATGTAGATTTTTTCTGAAAAAGATCCTAAATCATTTCTGGATGTAATAAGTCAAAATTCCATATTCTTTCAATAGTTCAAAAACTATCAACAACTTAGTACAACCCTGGCTAGAGTTGTTGCGTGTCTGCAATGTGGTTAAAATTTAGTATTTAATAGTTTTTCGTTATTATAAAGTTTTATTCTTCCCTATACAAAGTTCCAAAATAGTGCTTATGGGTGTTATATCACGAGTTTACACATCGAAACCGAGCAGCAATAAGCTTAGGTATAAAATAATGCCAAACATTGTTTTTTTTGTAATCAGACAGAGAAACCTTACATTTCTTGCAAATCCAATTTATAATTGTTGCATTTATCTTTACTTCTCGAATCATTAAATACTTTTTCATGTCCAACACGATCGTGACTTACATCAATTGAGGGACTTGTACACCTGACCGTGGTCTTTTGGGGGGTTCTGGGGTCGCTTCTCGTCGATTATTAACAGTTGGTTTTCCCCTTTTTATTCGGACTAACTTTGACTATGGCATAAGGATTCAGCCAGCTCGGTTCTGAAGTCAGCTAACTTCATAATGTTCTTCTGGGATTACCCTTTCATTGTACCAACTTTCTTGTACAGTACCCAAACATTCTATGTGGTGATAGAACAGCCTCATTGTCCAATATCTTGTTTTAATGCGGATACGATATTGATCAATGAAGCTGTCCATCCATTGTATTCTTTTATGACCCAAGGACATATTTGGACATTCATTTTTAGTTTTTTTGCCGTAGTAGGTTATACTCTCTGCTGGTTCAGAACCAACATAGGTTGAAAGCAATAAAACTTGTTTATTGTCTTTCCAGCTTATTGCCGAGAATTTTATACCTTTAAAAGTAGCAACATTCCTCTGGATACGTTAGACTTCAGGATTTCCTTTTTCTCAGGCAACTTCCAAGACTTTCCAAGTCTCTTTCTCTGTACTGTGCCAAAACAAAAACTGCCTTCTTTGGTTAAGTAATCTCGCAAAGGAGTATTAACTGTATTTATCCTTGGTCTGGTTCGCCAGGTAAACGTTCAATATCCTTAGCTTCTGAGTAGATAAACCTCAAAACTATAAGCATACTCCGAGAAAGAGCATAAAACATACAATTTGAATCCCTACTTGTGGTGTTATTACGCAAATATTGCTTTATGAAATACCTAATTTTTACGGCACACACTTGCTCGTCCAGTAACAGCCGATGGTTAAATGGTACAGTAATAAATCTTTTGTTCAGGTCTAATTTTGTGGAGTCTGTCGTGTTGGGGATGATCAGGTGGCAAATGTTTAGTGTCGTCATTCATATGATTATAAATTTGTTTGATTTTATTGGGTTGGTTCAGTTTGAGTAACAATATGTTAGGTTGAGTAAGTTCTGTGATTTGAAATTTATATTTAGACAAAACTAGAATTTAAAATAAACTTATACAATATAAAATTCTCCGAAAACTTATCTTTTCTCGGGAAAATATAAAACCTAAAAACATAGTTATATATACCTAAAGGTTTACAAAAATCCTCTATCTAACCGACAATGACCGCTATTGTGTCTTGATAATAGAGCCGTACTCACTTCTTATCTTCCCTTCATCCATCCACATACGCGCTCTCTTTCTAGTCTCTCTCGTATCGTTACTATATATCTCGCGGTCGGGAATGGTTATAGTGGCATCGTAATAGGCAACCTGTTGAAAGGGGAATTCTCACGGCTCTGTTTATCTCTTTTCATTTCCCGACGTATTCGCCAACCTCGAAACATTGCACCCGTATCGATCGTGTACCCGAATGTGTTCTCGCAAGATAGCTTAAAAACTCTTATCAGACAACTTCCTTTTTAAATTTACCGCAAAAAATTTAAAATCTTATCGAATTTTGATTTTTTTATTTCGTTTTCAGTTAATGATGGAACAGTAGAAGAGAATGTAGCTGATAGCGGTGAAGAATCAGAAGACGAGTGGAATTACTTCAAGGGAAATTCTGCCGAAGCTGAAACTAGCACTTCTTCCTTGAAAACCGACCAAGAAGTAATTAAAAAGATATATTTTTTAAATGGTATTAATGATAAATTTGTGATTTAGGTTGCGGAATTAACTAAAACTATAGAAGAGGACGAAGAGCAAGACATGTCTCAGTTAAACCCGAACGCCGCCGAATTTGTGCCTATCTCATCACCAACGAGAAACATATCGTCTCCGGCCTGTAGGGCTCTCATCGACGACAAAATTCTCGCGCAATCGCCGAGAGCCACAGCCCGCACGGACATTGACATTAACGTTCCCAATCCTTCGGAATTCGCATCAGAAGTTAAAAGTAGACCTGGTGATATTTTCAATAATAGCCATGATAACGAAAATGTAAGTAAAATTTATTACAACATCATACATATATTATTTATTCTAAATAATGATACTTTATACATTTTTGTTATGAAAGCTTTCTAACATTGTCGAATAAATAATAAAATAAACTGAAAATTAGATATATTTCATTATATCTAATTTTTAGGGTCATAAACTCTCATCACAGGAAGTAATGGAAAACTTGCTCAACGGTAAGAATCTGGATGAGATTGAATTCTACCCAAGCACACCATCAAAGACAGCTTCAACAAATTTAAATACGGACGAATTTCATTTTGGACCAAACGCAACCCCATTCTCAACACCCGCGAAACCATTGGACCAATCAGAGGCTTTATCCACTAAAGCGCTCTTCGGAGACGAATCCACTGCCAGTTATTTGGAAGGAACAACATTAGAATCACCTCGCGAACGCAAAGATGACGAAACCATCTCGTCTTTAAAACTAAAAGAGCAAGATCCAATGTCGATGTCGTTTTACCAAGATGAAAACGAACACAATCCGTTCGATTTGAACGAAGTTCAAAATCTTCCTGATGATTTAGACGAATTTATCGCTGGAACTGATAACGTAGAAAAACATGAACAGGACGATAAAGAAAATCTTAACCCAGAATCGAATCAGTATTTATTGGGGGTTTCAGAATTACCGAAAACGCCTGAACCAGAAAGTGACTTAGAAATAACAAAAGATATGGATGTCGAAAAAGTCTGTGATTTACCACCTAGTATTTCTCCAACTTTGGAAGAAATCGCTAAACAACCTTTACCAATAACACCCGAACCAACCGAATCGTTGGAAAGTCAAAATATTTCCGAAGAAGAAAAGATCGAAACATTTGAAAAAGACGAACTTTTACAACAAGATGACGTAGTTTCTGACTCGTTCGAACAAAATCTTATCGATGTAGAACCCAAACAACCAGAAATAGAAAAAGAAATCGTCAAAGAAACCGAAGAACCAGACTTCGCTAATTCTAGTCTCGCGACTTCAAATTTACTTCCACCAACTGCAGACTTATTATCTTCCGTTGAAAACAATCTCCCTACAACATGTGATATTAAGAAGATGCCTGATTTGGACTCGGCACCAGATACTGAGGAATTAAGCCAAATTTCCGATGCAGGAGACGAAATTCCTCCATTATGCAAATCACCAGAAATGATAAGCGATCTTGATCAATTTGAATCCGATATGAAAGAAGTGATTCAAGAAGCATCGCAAGTATTTGAAAGCGTTAGTAATATTGAAGGTATTCTTGATGATGTAGCTGAAACTGCTGAAAAGATTGCCAACACCATAGAAAGAGAGGTTAAAGAAGATAAGGAAACTATTGAAGAAGCTATTTTTGGACTTGATAACACTCAGGTAATTTATAATGTTATTATGCATCTAATTCAAACTATGTGTGGCAATTGTCATTTAATTTATTGTCAAAATTTATTTGTCATAATTTCACCACATTTTAAATTAAAATTTTTCATTAATATACCAATTTAAGACAACTGTCCCTCAAAATCGTAATTTATACCAACTTTATTGAACATAGTCTTATAAAAAAAATGACCGAAATTAGAAATGAAGATGTAAATATCAATTCAAATTTGCAAGCGGATTTTACAATTTTTCTTTTAATTTTCTAGGAAAACGTTACGAACGAAGTTTGCGAAATTACCAACACAGTATTCAATAGTATTCCAATATCGTCTGGTGAAAAACAAGAAAGTCTTCATGGTGAACCGGATATAGTAACTGCTTTAACCAATTATGATAATATCGAACCTTTAGAAAAAATCGAAACGGAAATAGAACCGATTGAAACCAAATCCCAAGATGCTTTTGGAAATACTAAATATTCCGAACATCTTTTTGAAACTTCTGATGAGAAACTAAAAGAAGAGGACAAATATTCTAAATATTTAAATATGGTGGAAGATGGTCACATTTCCGAATTTGAATCAAGAACTACTACGTTAGATCATGGCGAAAATATTGCACGAGGAATGGAAGAGCATATTCCAGAAATAGCAGAATCAGAAAAAGAAATTATTTTAACAGAATCAGAAAAAGCGATCGTGTTGACGGAATCAGATAAAAATCTTGATTTAACAGAATCAGAAAAAGAACTCCTTTACTCGCCAGAACCCAGCAATGAAATTTTGATGAAAAACGATATAGATCTGGAAGAAAAGTTCGATGATAAAGTTTCTGATGATATGCGCGACTTGGATTCGCCAATGGAAGACGTTACAACATCGATTAAAGATGATGTTTCTACTTCAGAAATAATCGAAGAAGCTAAAGACATTAGTACTGAAAAAGATATGGTGTTGCAAGACAATTTTGGTATTACAAATAACGACGTTTTAGTTGAAAAAGTCCACGTAGAAGAAAGAATTGGTGACGTCCAAGAAAAACTTGGAGTGGAATTAATAACTCCCGAACCAATTCTTGACAAAAAAGTCAAGGAAGAGGTTGATCAAAAAGTTGAAAATGTTCCAGAAGAAGTTATCCATGTGATTGAAGACAATCTTAAAGAGATACTTGACGAAAACATCCAAGAAACCATTCCCCATCAAATTCAAGAGGTAGTTGAAGATCACAAGATTTTAGATCAAGAAGTTTTAGCCCCAAGTCCCGTGGTACCACCAATCGAGGAACCTTTGATTTTGGGAGATGTAGTTCCAACAGAAGAAATCAAAACAACCCCTATTCCACAAGAACCTACAATTGAACTCATCAAAACCGACTTAATCACTCCACAATATCCAGAAGAAACTACAATTATAACTCCCTCAGAAGAAATCAAAGAAGTTGTTCCTCCTGTTGAAGCAGAAATACCAGTAGAAACTCCATCAGAAGTTCCTCCACCACACGAAGAAGTCAAAAAAGAAGAGACACCTGAAACTAAAGTAGATACAACAACCGCTGTTACCGCTGCGGTTGTTGGTGGAACTGCAGCTGTGGCAGCTGCAGCAACTGCTGCCGTTGCCGCGACGAAATCAAAAGAAAAGAAACCTTTGACACCAGAGAAAAAACCATCCGCAACTAAGAAACCTACATCAGCATCAAAACCATCTGCTACAACTGTACCATCTAAAACTTCAAAACCACCTTCAAAGCCATTGACACCAAAATCTGCTCCAGCATCAACAAAAGCACCAGCAGCAGCAAAACCACCAGCTGCAGCGAAACCATTAGCTGCAAAATCGTTGGCTCCTACTCAATCAAAACCTTCATCCAGACCATCCAGCTCCTCCAAATCAGCTACAAAACCGGAACCTGCAAAAACAATTGAGAAAAAATCTTCACCAATACACAATGGAGAGGTGAAATCGGCATTGGCAAAACCATTGATGGCGTCAAAGAAACTCGCGGCCGTTCCTAAAACGCCAACCGGAACCAGAACGCTTCCCGCCAAATCATCCAGTCCAACAAAATCTGAACCGAAAGTTGAGGTTATCAAAGCTGCTCCAAAACCACCAGTAAAGGCGGCTCCAACTTCTAAAACTACTATGGTAACCACTAAACCAAGACCTACAACTTTAACATCTACAACAAGAACAGTACCTCCAATTAAGGTAAAAATTTATATAAATAAATAATTTTAAGTTTTTTATAATTTTAATAAAAAAAAAATTAAATATTTTAGAGTACGTTAAAACCAGCAACTGCAACTTCTCCAAAACTTTCATCTTCGCCAGCAAGGGCATCACGACCTCCACTCAGTGCATCAGCAATGTCTAAGCCAAAAACGTCTCTTAATGCAAAGGGTCCTGATGCTGAAAAACAACTTAAAGACTCTGTTAATAAACAGCTAACAAGCACTCGCACAACGGTAACCAAAACTGGAACTGCCCCAGGAAAAACGACTACAACCACTACCAGGAGAATAGAGACGAACAAGGTAAGGTCGCCCCAAAGGATAAGCAAACAAAACAGTTATATTGAAAGTGACTTCTATTATAACGCGAAATTTTAAGAATCATAAGTGAATCAATGGGACAGTTGTATCTTGACACATTTTTCAATCATGTATATAACAATAAATTATGATTACATTAAAGTTTTCATTTAATGTGTTTTGGTAGAATTAAGTTATTTTGTTTTTGTAACTCGAACAATAATTTTTTAGTTTAGTAATTTTCATAATGGATTTTCTTGGAATGGAATAATTCAAAGAAGAACTGATTTCACTCAATTATATTGTAGTACTGCAAGCAAAAAAAGGTTTAGAACACAAAAAGACACCAATCAACGAAATGTCAGTAATACTACTAACCTATAAGTTTAAAGAGTTGTGAAAAATAAAGAAAATTTGCTTGTATTTATTTCAGATTCAACTAATTTTGAACAATATCATTTGCATTACAAATTTAAAATGCTCCTATTTAAAAACAAGGTTTAATAGAATTTAATTATTTTATGTATGGCTTTTTGACTTGTTTGATTTGCTGTGCCATGTCTTTGAAGATGTGATAGAATCTGAAAAAATACATGTCCGACGTAATAGGGATAAGAATGGTAGGAATGAATGTTTCATCTCGCTGTCATTCATGTTGTTGGTTGATGATTGCTCACTGCTTAGTACAAAGTGTGCACAAATAAAATAACTCAACACAGGTTTTTGCACACACGAACATGTTTTTGATTTTGCTTTAGAAGAATGAACTCGAAATCAAAACATTCAATTTTGACCAATATGAATGAACCAACTATCTAGAAGTGACAAAGAGATTAATTTGAGCAAGATATTAACCCCATGATTTTAACAAGTCAAATTCTATACGTAATAGAGAACGTTATTGATTAAAAACTTCTTAAAAGTATAGACAGTCTTCGTTATTAATGGTATCCTAAACAGACGAAGTGTCAAATTTTAGTTTGGTTTGTTTGGAAGTGTCAATTCTGAAGTTTTATCAGTGTAATTCCAGACATTTTCTTCCAATAAATTCAAATTAATGTGTGACCAGCGTAATTAAGGACATTTTCCCAGCTTGAAGTCCTACCAGTTCAATTCCAACTTTTTGAAGCAAATTAAAGTTTTGGCTAACATAATTCCAGACTGTTTCTACAAATGTGTGGTTTAGTCATTTTTACACCGGACTTTTTTCTTGTAGTTCGAAGTTTTGTCAGTGTAATTTCAAACATACTTTTCGATTTTCGAGTTTTTCCAGAATAAATTTAGACTCTTTCTACAAATTAAAGTATGAACAGCATAGTTCCAGACAGCTTTAGAGTCTTACCAGTATAATTCCAGACTTTTACATGCAATTTAAAGTTTTGACCAATGTAATTGCAAACTGTTTCTTCAAATCCGGAAATTGATTAGTGTAATTGTGGACTTTTCTTGCAGTTCAGATATTCTCTCCAGTTTCAGTTTCCAGTTCTCCAGTTTACACTTTTTTTTAGAGTAAATTCAAACTATTTTTGCAAATTAAAGTGTGACAAGTGTGATTCCAAACTATTTCTTCAAATCTGAGGTTTGGTCAGTTTAACACCGGACTTTTTCTTGTAGTTCGAAGTTTTGTCAGTGTAATTTCAAACATACTTTTCGATTTTCTAGTTTTTCCAGAATAAATTTAGACTCTTTCCGCAAATTAAAGTATGAACAGCATAGTTCCAGACAGCTTTAAAGTCTTACCAGTATAATTCCAGACTTTTACATGCAATTTAAAGTTTTGACCAATGTAATTGCAGACTGTTTCTTCAAATCCGGAAATTGATTAGTGTAATTGTGGACTTTTCTTGCAGTTCAGAGATTCTCTCCAGTTTCCAGTTCTCCAGTTTACACTTTTTTTTAGAGTAAATTCAAACTATTTTTGCAAATTAAAGTGTGACAAGTGTGATTCCAAACTATTTCTTCAAATCTGAGGTTTGGTCAGTTTAACACCGGACTTTTTCTTGTAGTTCGAAGTTTTGTCAGTGTAATTTCAAACATACTTCTCGATTTTTTCCAAAAAAAATCCAGATTCTTTCTGCAAATTAAAGTATGAACAGCACAGTTCCAGATAGCTTTAGAGTCTTACCAGTACAATTCCAGACATTTACATGCAATTTAAAGTTTTGACCAATGTAATTGCAGACTGTTTCTTCAAATCCGGAACTTGATTAGTGTAATTATGGACTTTTCTTGCAGTTCAGATATTCTCTCCAGTTCTCCAGTTTACACTTTTTTTTAGAGTAAATTCAAACTATTTTTGCAAATTAAAGTGTGACAAGTGTGATTCCAGACTATTTCTTTAAATCTGAGGTTTGGTCAGTTTAACACCGGACTTTTTCTTGCAGTTCGAAGTTTTGTCAGTGTAATTTCAAACGTTCTCTTCCATTTTCGAGTTTTTCCCGAATAAATCCAGACTCTTTCTGCAAATTAAAATAGGAACAGCATAGCTCCAGACAGCTTTAGAGTCTTAGAGTTTTACCAGTACAATTCCAGACTTTTACATGCAATTTAAAGTTTTGACCAATGTAATTGCAGACTGTTTCTTCTAATCCGGAACTTGATTAGTGTAATTATGGACTTTTCTTGCAGTTCAGATATTTTCTCCAGTTTCAGTTTCCAGTTCTCCAGTTTACACTTTTTTTTAGAGTAAATTCAAACTATTTTTGCAAATTAAAGTGTGACAAGTGTGATTCCAAACTATTTCTTCAAATCTGAGGTTTGGTCAGTTTAACACCGGACTTTTTCTTGTAGTTCGAAGTTTTGTCAGTGTAATTTCAAACATACTTCTCGATTTTTTCCAAAAAAAATCCAGATTCTTTCTGCAAATTTCAAAGTATGAACAGCATAGTTCCAGACAGCTTTAGAGTCTTACCAGTATAATTCCAGACTTTTACATGCAATTTAAAGTTTTGACCAATGTAATCGCAGACTGTTTGTTCAAATCCGGAACTTGATTAGTGTAATTCTGGACTTTTCTTGCAGTTCAGAGATTTATCAATGCAGTTCCAGATATTCTCTCCAGTGTCAGTTTCCAGTTCTCCAGTTTACACTTTTTTTTAGAGTAAATTCAAACTATTTTCGTAAATTAAAGCGTGACAAGTGTGATTCCAGACTATTTCTTCAAATCTGAGGTTTGGTCAGTTTAACACCGGAATTTTTCTTGCAGTTTGAAGTTTTGTCAGTATAATTTCAAACATTCTCTTCCATTTTCGAGTTTTTCCCGAATAAATCCAGACTCTTTCTGCAAATTAAAGTATGAACAGCATAGTTCCAGACAGCTTTAGAGTCTTACCAGTACAATTCCAGACTTTTACATGCAATTTGAAGTTTTGACCAATGTAATTTCAGACTGTTTCTTCAAATCCGCAGCTTGATTAATGTAATTCTGGACTTTTCTTGCAGTTCAGAGATTTATCAGTGCAGTTCCAGATATTCTCTCCAGTGTCAGTTTCCAGTTCTCCAGTTTCCACTTTTTTTGAGTAAATTCAAACTATTTTTGCAAATTAAAGTGTGACAAGTGTGATTTCGGACTATTTCTTGAAATTTTGATTTGGTCAGTGTCATCTTATACTTTTTCTTGAATTTTTAGCATGACCAATTCAATTCCAAACAAATAATCATAACTAATGCCCTATATCCGCATTTGAGTTCTAAGACAATGTTCTTTAAGTATATGACACGAGTATTTGAGGTGGTTATTGGCAACAAGTATGCTGCTGTAAAAACGTATGTGCAGTAGAAAGCATAAGCTCCTGGATTCTTCCAGAGTACTTCTACCGTGTCAACGCATACAGAGAACGTGAGGTGTGTTTTAAATGTCAATGAGGCGTTCATCAAAACCTTAAAGGGCATTAATTCTCCCAGACTGATCATCTATTTGTGATTGTATCTGTCGTTGATTTGCTTCTGAAGCCAAAGTGTCCTAAATTCTGATTCTATGTATATTATGGTTCTAAACAGCCAAGGGTGGCGTGATATTTGAAGAAGGAATTTTCTGAGTATATTTGCTTATCATTTAAGGTAACCATTTTTCCGTGAGAAAAAGTTTTTACAACAATTTAATAATAAGAAAATCTTGTTAAATATGAAAAATGAAACTTTTAATAAAAAGTTATTAAATTGTTTTAATAAATAATTTCAGAGTTCTACCGCTGCAACACGAACGACTACGACTACAAGAACCACGATGACTAAAACGACAAAGAAACCAGCCGAAATAACAAAACTTGCGAATAAAGCGAAACCAACTGCAACGAAAACAGCCTCGAGAACACCCCAACAAAACGGCACTATCGAACAACACCACGTAGTGACTACGGTTGTTCAAGAAACAACTGCCATCCTAACGGCCGAACCGCAGCTCGTTAAAGATTTATCCCCGCCAATTGAAAATAAATTCATCACAGATAATTTGCAACAGGTAACTGAGAGAAACGTCGACTGAATTGGTGTTTAAAAATAAACTATTTATAATAATACTTTAATTAATAAAACTTATTAATCTATTTGTATTTAGCGAGTACTACTACGTAAGTGTAATATCAAATTTTTATATTATAAAAAAAACAAATACGGATTATTATTACTACAACAATTATTGTCGATTATTATTATCTATATGGATTGATCGTAATAGTTGAGAGAGCTGTTTCAATTAACAAAAAAAAAAAAAAGAAAAAAAGGAAAATAAACATTAAACATGGTGTGGAATGATTTTTAAATATTTTTTACGAAATGTATTAATGTTATTATTTTTTAAAACCGAGCGCGGTTTTCCTTATTATTTTTTCTGTGTATCCGTTTTTTTATTTTAGCTGGTTTTCGTTTCTTGATGTTTATTATTTAAAAAGAGCTTTTTAAGGCTTAGGTGTGCTGAAATGTGATGCATTGCACTCTTCTGTATATATACTATATGTGTAATTATTGGAAAAAAATATTATTAATACATTAATACTATTACTATTGGGTGCTAAAAACGTAAACGAACGAGCGCTTTTTTTTGAAAAAAAAAATCATTTGGGAGAACAAGTTACTTAATAATATATTGTTATTTACACACACAAAAAAAGGTACCTATCCACTAATTTTTATGCTTTTTGATAGTTACATATACATAACAGTTTTTAATATTAATACGAAAAAAAAAAGCATATTAAATGGCTAGGTTTTTAGAAAACAATAGTTCTTATTCTTATCTACTTATTTACTAGTAACAAAAAAAACGCTAAGGAATAATACATGATTTTTTTATCCTCCCTTTTAAAGTTTCTTACACCCTCATGTTTTTATCATTTTATTTTCTGTAAGGATTTGTTTTTTTTCTGAGTCTCTTACCTTTACCTATTTGTATTAGACCTTTTTATTTATTTGTGTAAAATTTGTAGTATTCAGCACAGAAATAAATTTTTTTAGAAAGTCACTTTTGTTTATTTTTATCATTTTTTTATTAAAATTCCGGTTTCTATGGAAATTTTTTGTATTTATATTGTCAAAATAATATATCCTTAATAAAATGTTATCTGTCAGTGTTAATCAGTGAAATCAACGTTTTATTTGTGGGGAAATTTCTTACAAAAACGTTTTAGAGATTTCTAGAATATTAATATATTTATATTAAAATATTTATTTTACAGTTGGATCCCTTAAATTATCATTCTTATCAATAACAATATCACTAACATGATAATTGCATACATCAACATTTAAGACGGCAGAACTTCCTTTTGAAAAGTGATAATCGCCATTGCGATCCATCTTTTTATTGGTTTCTTCATAAGTCCTTAAAACATCGTACGATCCTTTCCTGATTACGCACAAATCCACGTTTGCTCCGGAAGCTAAATCATTAAAAATCCCTGCTGCAATAGCATCTCTCACCAATTTTTTGCCTTCTATTTCATTTAATGCCGGTTTCCAACGACCTTCAAAAACGCCCATGGCTGCAAGGGAACCTGAACCCATCGTAGCGTATGGCAAATAATCTGCTGAACCGTGCGGATAAACCGAATACAAATGAGGCCCTGTTACATCCACGCCACCCAAAACTAAAGCAGCCCCTATATAACCTTGATAACGAAATAAAAATTGACTCAACATTTGTTTTGCAGCGCAAACCGGTATAACGCGATTTGTATAGAAGCGGTGAAGTTCTAATTGGGCGGATATCATATTGGTGATCATTTCCGTATCGGCTGCGGTTCCAGATCCACAACAATAGATGTTTTTAGCTAAGAAATGTATCTTATTAGAATTCTTATCACTTATTGTGGTCCCATCGGTTGCTCTTGTATCCGCGCCCAGTATAACACCATCTTCGAAGGTTATTCCTGCAATTGTTGTACCAGTTTTTCGAGGAGTTGGTGAAGGGAAATTGGTGTTTTCAAAAACTTTGTTTCTCAAGCAATTCTCAAAAGAAAATCCAGGTTGAGAATCTGTTGAGTATACAAAATGCGTCATGCTTCAAAATATATTTGAAGTAACAAATTATGTTACCAAGTTGTTTAGGTAACTATTTAACATATTTGACTTTAAGTCTTTAACAACTAATAATAAAATACTAACCGCTCGTTTTACTTGTTCATCTCTAGCTATTTGATGCGATATTATTAAGCAATTGGAATATTACAAACTAAATTTTAGATGTAAAATTTACATCGAGAGCTTATTTTACAATTTTTTAATTAATTTAATCGAGAGATTATTGCTTTGGTTATTGCTGCTTGTAGCCCTCTGATTGCCTATATGAAAATATCCGACAGTTAAGTTTGAGAATATATTATTAAATCGGTTAAACCTTGATTTATCTGGTATACTTTAGGTTGAGCAACACTTTTTTCCACAATAAGAGTCTCTTTCACCTCAAAAACCACTTTTTCAAGGATGATTTACTCCACTCTTTGTTGATTGAAACGTTTGATTTTTATTCCTTTTTACACCCTATTTTGGTACCCTCTTTAGATTTTCATAATCGGATTTTAAAATTTTGGGGTTAATTTACCTCAATCGTGTGATAATTTTTTTTCAAGATAAGTTAGATTATCAGCCATAAACCACTTGAAGCACCAAGCAAAATATGTTATTAAAGTAGTTAAGGAAATATCTAAAAAAATTTTGATTTAAACTTGTTAGGAGTGATGAACGTCTTTGTCTATTGGTAACGGTTCTAGATCAAAAAACAGCTACAAAATCTCAAGATTTAGGTTAGCTCTTTCTTTTTATGTCTATTTATGTATTGATGTTCTTAATTTCTGCAACAATCGTGCAACGAGGAGTTATATCCAGAAATGTTAATATTTATTGTAGAAGAAATAAATTTACAAGATTTAGACAATTAACGGCGCAGTTTTAAGAATTTTGTTTAAACGAATTTATAACTACTACTAAAGGTACTCCAAAATCTTCTGCTTTTGTACATAATAAATAAACTTACTCTAATAAATATTATTGCCTATTACTAATACAGTACAACTAAAAAGTTGTAGCTAAAAAGCCCTTGTTTGTTACAAGCAGGAATGTGTTAATCAGTTTATAGAGTTTACAATATAGAACATACACAAAGATGATATCCAAACTATCACCTTAATAGATAGAAGAACAGCGCCATGCTATGGATTAGAGCATCTCTTGGTGCAGACGAGATTTAGATGTAGAATTAGTAAACGATCAACACAAAATAGTCTATACAAAGAAAACTAAACGTATTTAACCTAAATGGCACAGAATTTGGACAAAAGAAGTAGGTAAAGTAGATAAGTGGATAAAGTACTGAAAACAACCTCAGGCAGAAACAGCATCGTTAATGAAGAATGGAATCGAATTACAACAACTAGAATCACTATTGCCAAAGAAGTCTTGGGAGTGACTTAAAAAAGTTAACCATGATTCGACAAAGAATGCAGGGATAGCAAAACGCAAAGAAATGAACTTTACATAAAATATATGGAACGAGGAACACGATAGAGGGAGGAAATCTATAAAGGTGTAGACAAAAAAGCGGAAAAGGTTAATATTCCCTCAAAACTGTTCAAAATGGGAAGTGGAAATCTCAAGGAAACTGAACATGCAGAATGATTTGATCAATGGAATGGAACAAAGCAATAATATTGACGCTGCCAATCCAAAATGGCATAAACGCCAAAATGGTACCTTTTTACTTAGGTACACCGTTAAACAGGATTTTTAAATCTGCATCCAACAGATATATAAACTTCAATCGCTACAATATTGGTTTAAAGATTGCGCATATGTATTTCAATATATCATGAAAGTGATGAAAATTTGTTGTATTTCCTGAAAAATCAAGTAAATGTAGTTTATGCCGTTTTGGCTTGGTAGCGTCGATATGAGTCATGCAAAAAAGCATGAACTGTTTTGTCAAAACCGTAATAAAACATCATGAGCCAAAAAATTATCCCAAAAACTAATAAAGTATATTGATATTTGAGAGAAAATACTTCAGGAGAATTTTAAGTCAAATTCAAGAAACCTTAAAGAACTACAGTTATCCAATTACATCAGTAACTTCAATGGACGAGTCATGTTTTTAGGACGAAGTAGAAAGCGGGAAGCTTCTCAAAATGCAAGGAGTGAGGTCGAAAGCTAACAGAAATGATACAGCAGAAATGCAATGGATTTAATTTTTTTCATTTAGTACCCTTGTATCCATCTGTTCATCTCTTTGCGTACAGTTATCCAAAGGCAAATCAGCTGATTCGAGTACAGCTTTTAAGAGCTGTTGGTTATTCAGATATGCCAATTAACTTTAATAAATGCTTTTTATTTGAATGCATTTTGTTAATTTCAAATATCCATAAATATTTTATTCTTCTACATGCTTAAAATCATCACTGTAGTACATAAAAATGACCGGTATGTATAAACTTTGTGGTAATCCTAATCGATAATATTCTTCTCTTTCGTCGATTATTCCATTTTCTTCGAGAGTTTTATTCATCACTAAATTTTTATTAAGAGCTCTAAAATATTGAAATAATTCTTTAAAAAATTATGGATATGAAAATCTTATGTACCTGCAAATATAGCTTTCTGGTTCACTATTAAATATTCTATATCGTTCCATAATTCTGCTAATAGTATCCTCACAACATACATTTATAATGGCTTCTTGACAAATACACATATTTGTGATTCTTACAGGACGAACTTTTTTTGTTAAACGACCAACCAGATATCTTAAAAAAATAATTAATGTATGTTATTATAAAATGAAGTAATTTTTTACTTAGCGTCATCTTTCCACCATGGTAAACCATCTAAAGGTCGCCACTCCGTTGATGGTACTTGAATTTGAACGTGAGGAATCCTTCCATATGGGCAATGAGGTACTCTAGCTCCAGTAATTGGGTGTATATAATGTTGAATATCACCGGTTGACTCATCAAACCAGTCGTTGATATCTTTTCCGGCGAAAGCAACCAATGGTCTTATACAATCTTCACCGGCATATTCCCTTAATAAAGGTGTTATGTTGTAAACTTTTCCAAGAAACGAAACCCAGCAATCGCTCACACTATTATGGACAACAACTTCGAATGGAGCGATATAATTTCGTTGATCTATCTTTAAGGTTCTCGACACCTTTTTGGGTTTCTTTTTTATTAGTCGCGGTAAAGGGTTTTTAGTTCGATAATTTATATTATAACAATCGGTCATTGTAATTGAGATTTAGTTAGTCGTTGCTTTAAAAAGATAAGATTTTTTAATTCTAATTGACAATAATAATATTGACAAGAAAACGATTGAAATATCTCAAAGTAATTAATCAAAAAATTTTATAAATAACTTTTAACACCTTTCATCTTCACATTAAAGAAGTTATTTATGTTCTTCGAAGTGGTGAACGACGAAAGAAAGGAAATGTTGAATCGGTTTTAAAATTAAATGTACCTAAAAGCACTTCGCTATCGTTCAGAAATAAACAAGCCAAGAACATCGCAGCAGGAGGTAAAATGCACATTTACAGCCTCTTAAAATTAGACAACATCAACGTTTATCGTGGCACGTTCGAAATGTGCCGATACAAATCGATTAACGTACGGCGAAAGCTCGCAACTTGAGAATACTGCTGTTATGGGGGGCTCGAAAACCTTATTAACCCGTGAAAAGATTCGAACGGTGACATAAATCATATGGACAATTGCTGAACAATAACCCACGTCTCGAAAGTGTTTAAAAGGATCTCCAAATGCTTTTAATGTTAATACGTTTTTCGAACGATTTTCGACGGTAGTTAAAATCGGTTTTATGTATCATGTAAAGTGTTAAAAAATTGAGTGTTTAATGATCTTGTTGTTATTTTAGATATTTCGCAAAAAGCTTTTATTTTTAGTAATTATGAAAGCTTACTTAAGTAACCTATTTTATTTAATTGAGCAATAAAATTTAATAATCCATAACATTTATTTTTATATTTAAACATATGGTAAACGTACTTTAACTTTGTACAAAACTACTTCCTTAAATAAAAAAATAACTCAACACTTTTAATATAGCCCAAATAAGATAAAATTTGGAAAATAACAGCTGGGCAATCTTTAACTATTAGTAATAACGGTCGATGTAATTACCAAATAAACAATATTTTCTACGTCACGGGAGACTAAACACGTGTTTGTCAGGATGTACTAGTTACGAAGTGACTACGGTAAACATAAACGTCTCTCCCTTGGTTTTATCGAAAGAGAATCGTCTTGTCAGTGCTGCTTATTCCATATTTAGATCGCAAAGTGCGAACGTTTAGACAAGAAGTGTTTTGTGTGTCGTTAAGCGTGCGTCTGTTTATTAAATCACACTCTCTTGAACTAAATAGATACAAAGAAGGATAAGACCGACCGAAACTGCTACACATTTAAAAGCGGATATCTCGCGTCATCACCGATAATAAACGATAATAAAATAAGGAGCGTTTTATGCGCGATTAAGTAAAATAAAGTTGTGCATTTAAAAACGGTTTGGATGTTGTGGTTCGTTTCGAGTTCAAAATATCCCCTTAAATAATAAAAAAAGGATTGCGGTGTCGTAATTTCGTCCAAATGTTATGACATCCGGACAATCTCTTGTCTTACTACTTAAATAAGTGGAGTGTAGTGTGTGGTCGCTTTGATAAACTTGTAAATAGGTTGTTTGAAGTGTTCTAGGCGAGAATGGCGCTTCCTATTTATTTCGACATAAAAACGTAAGTGCTCTCTGTTTTTATTTTCTAGTTAAAGTACCAAGGAGTTGTAAAATTGGTTAAGAAATTTTGTGTTGGGAATTGGAGGAGAGTAAAACGAATCAATTGGGATTTTATTTTTTCTTAAGAAACCTGGATGCTAAAATAAAATTGAAATTACCTGGGTAGGGGTCATAAAGGAGTTTATTTAGATTCAAATTTTATGTTTTCTAATAAAATAAATGAAACTATTTTAGAATAATAAAAATTAATTGCTTTGTAGTGGGTTGTGTCTTGCCAAAAATTGTAAGTAGGTTTCATGGGTCCGAAAAAAAAATATTATTTAGGTAGTCAATTCTAAGAGCAGCTGCTTTACCATATGCGTTTCGAATTCCTGTCAGCCAGGTGGTGGCCTTTCAAGACACTCGCGGCTACTACAGCTTCTACCCCAAATCCACCATAATTTTGTTTTAGTGTCGAACGTCTGACCATCAGATATAGTGATTTCAAAACTACAACTTTGTAATAATTTTAAATACTGTAAAACCTCGATATAACGATCGTCGTTAGAACGGACAAAATATTTTTAAAACAGTATATATAAATATAAATGTTACTAGACTAACTAATACTAGACCTAGAACTAGAAAGTTTCGGGTTCAAGGTCTAGTGTTAGTTGTGGTTTTAATTTTTATTCAACGCTATATTGTTGTATATTTTTATTGATTTTTATTGAAAAATAATGATTTAGTCTTCTGCAAGCACTACATAGCCATCTGCAAGCAGGAAGTAGTCTTCCCAAACAGTATCTAATCCTCTGCAAGCAGTAAATAGCCTTCTGCAAGCAGTCAATAGTCTTCCCAAGTAGTGTCTAGTCTTCTGCAAACAATAAATAGCCATCTGCAAGCAGCAAGTAGCCTTCTGCAAGCAAAAAGTGGTCTTCCCAAGCAGTATCTAGTCCTCTCCAAGCAGTAAGTAGCCATATGCCAGCAGTAAGTTCTAGTGCTAGTCTCAGCTCTACTTTTCACACTCCCTTCCTATATTTATGTATTATCAAATGATTAATAATAATTACTTTTTTTATAATAATCTTAATGAAAAAATAATTTTTAAACGATAAATACAAAAACGGAAACGATTAATTGCGCCACATTACGGCGAAGTAAAATTGACATTCACGTAGCCCTACATAGACAATGATATTTCTTAATAGTGCGAAATATGCAGATTGCAGCGGTTAAGACGGAATTTTTTACAGTTAAACTATTACATCAAGATTGCCTTCAGGAAATTACCAGTTACTTTACAACATCCATTCTCCAAATAAACCCGATATTACTAAATGTATTGTTTTGAAAAAATTTTATAATTTATGATTATTGTTATTACAAAATTACAAATTTCTGTTTAAATTAATTATTTACGTAGAATAAGTTAAATACAAGGAAATCTAAAATAAATACCTCAATAAAAATGGGATTTTATGGGGAGACGTACACTTTAAAATCGGCGATATCGATGTAAATGCTTGCATTGATGATATCACTTTCGGAGCTAATAGCGTAACTGAAGCCTTGGAAGTTAAAATCGAAGGTAATGAAATAGTGTAATTGGGATATTTTGAACTGAAGAAGTTTTTGCAAATTCCTTGAGATAAAGATAAAGACCTTGAGACTTATTTAGGTTTGTAGTTAATAAAAGTGTTGAATCAACACTTAATAAAATAACAAAATTGGTTTGTAATATCAATAATTTCTAATTTTTGATTCTGTAGAAATCATTGACGTTAATGCAAAATTGTTTACGAAAAGGTAGTTTATTTTTAGTCGAAACTCTCGTATCCTCCGCTGAGCGTAATATTACTGCAGATGAGTTCGGGCACAATGTGGCACACATGAAACAATAGCAGCACGATCCCGTAATTAGTGCTTTAAAGTACCTACTCACGTTCAATGGGACGTTTTAAGCAAGAAAAGGGATACTTATTACGTCCGATATACGTATAACTCACTGCTACATCAAAATCTGCTCGAACTTTTGACCTAAATGCGAAAAAAATTCAAAACAGTCAGATATGGGATTTATCTGAACATTTTCCAAATATTATTTTCCAAACATAGATTTTCATAAACGTCTGTAATGATGAAAAACTAATTTATAGTATAATCGCATCACAGAAAGTAGTAATTGAAGTGCTACCTAAACACTTAATTGAGATTCGCATTAACTGGGACATTAAATAGAAATAAATAATAAAATGTTGTAAAATCACCGCTTCTAGTCTTCTATCAGCAGTTCCTTTTTTTTAGTCTTTTGCAGGCATAAATTGTCTTTTTCCAGCACTATCCAGTCTTTTTGCAGCAGAATTTAGTCTTCTGTTTAGTACTCTGTCACTTGGCATATCTGTACAACAAGCTGGGATTAGATAGCAAATATATAGTCAGAAAGTGTTGATGTACGTACGCAGACATAGTTAGTTAATGAGTCAAATAGACCATTTCTATGACACAAGAAACAGGAACATAACTGCAAAACCGACCTAGACTGCACCAATGAATTGATTGAAAAATCACATACAACCGGTAACAATTTAAGTATACTTCATTGGAAAACTTCTATGTTTATTCAGGAATAATTATTATGCTCCAAACACATACCAGTTAATACAGGTTACTGTGGATGTTTAAGAACAAATGGAACTAATTTGACATGTTCGTTGTTGTTTGAATTATTCATTTTTCGCACTATAACTTTGAAAACAAGAGATTGTTCTGAAATAGTTTCACAGGAAGCTGAAGTGTGATAAATCATGAAAAGATCGCTATTTTTCAAATCTCCTTGACATTCATTTCACAAGATTTTTATTGTATTTGAAGAGAGTTTTGTCCATCCTCCGTTAATACATTTTTTAGATCATCTTTTTTGCAATAGTTTTTTTTGTTGAGGTGTTTCTACAGATATTGTATAGAATTAAGGTCTGGGGACTACAGTGGATGATCCAGAGTTTTGGGTATTCCATGTTTTAGATCGTTGCTCTGTTGAAAAAGTGCCTTTAATGATTAAGGCCCACTTTTAACACCTCTTGTTAGAAAACCTCATATGATAGCTATTGCCATGGCAACAAAAAAATCTTTTTGGAATTCATTCCACAAGATTTTTATTGTATTTGAAGAGATTTTTGTCCATTCTTCTGTTAAAGCATTGTTAGGTCATCTTTGCTAGAAATGCTCCTTTCTGTCAAGGTACTACCATAGATACTCTAGAGAATTAATGTTATGATCGCTTATGATCTTATTAGCGACTCATTTTTAGGTTGCAACACTTTTAGTGGCTAATTGCAAACTTACTCTCACCAGTGAATATTATATTTTTTAAAATTTTGAGGATCGTTTTGATGCTCTTTGCTTGGTTACATGGTGTTATCAATGTAGACTGTTTTTGTGGAACGCTCTTCTTATGGTACTGCAACTCCTCTTATTACTGCCTTAACTTGCGTATCTGTAAGCTACTTTGATCGTACAACGCGTTGTAAACCCTTTACAGTACCATATCTATCGTATTTATCCATGACATTCTTTGTCGTGCAATG